ATTTGACAACATTTTCAACCGTTTTCTTAGTGTTTAAATCACTTTTCACTTCTGTTTGACTTTCAGTTCTAATATTATCGTCAATTGGTTTGGTGTCTGTCTTATCGTTCAACTTATCGTCACATTTATTGTCAACAGAGGTATGAATTTCTTCATCACTGCTGTCATCACTTTCGGAACTACTGTTATATTCATCGGAAACAGTGATTACATTTAAGTCCTTATTTTTGGGTTCAGTTTTTAATTTTTTCAATCTCTTCGCACTCTTATAATTAGTTAACTTTATTTCATGTGTTTCTTCATTATTTGTGTCAGTATTTAGTTTAACGTTATCTAAAAATCTGTGGTCGAAATCAAGAGTAAAATAATTTAATTTTAGATTAAACTAAACAATTGTGACAAACCTTTTACGACCACAAGTCTGGACATCACTCGTGGACGACATTAAAGCGATTTCCTTGTCTCCAACTCTCACTTCTTGTAAATCACTCAATAGTTTGGCTCTCTTTAGACAAACAAAACAAAGCCAACGATTAAACCAAAAATCAATTGAATGTCAAAACAATCAAATCATATTTACATTGATTTTCCTACTCTTTCGTTGCAATACTTTCTCTAACTTTTTCTTTTGCTTTTTCGACAAAACTCTCGTTTTATTCACATTTTGATTGGTTTTGTTTGTCTTCGGTTTCGACGCCTTCTTCGATGTCTCCAAAACTAATTGATTGCAAGAATCGTATTTCGTTTCGTCGATCTCGAGGTCTATCTTATCGGTCATCGATGTCTACAAGAGTGCCACCAATTGGTCATTAAATTGTCGACACAATTATCATTGACGACAAGACTTACCTTCTTTGGCGAATCCGTTGCCTTCTTGTCGACGGACTCGTTGTCTGATTGTCTCGCTTTCCAATTGTGACGTTTTTGTCGTGTTTTAACCATTGTTTCGGTGTTAATGATAATACGATCACCGCTTGGATTCAATTCACTTCTTAAGCGTGAGATTCAAACCTAAACTTACGTCACATTCAAAGCACGTGTCGATCAAAACATAAATACAGTATTCATTCAAAACTTACGTAAAAACTGATGCA